TGACAATGTGAGATTTTTATCAAGTTGAAAAAATTCTATCATTTTCCTAATGTCTGTCATCAGTCAGCATATTCTGAATATATCCATCCAGTTATAAGCACATAAAAAAGTACAGAAGTAATGTCCCTGTGTTACTCTCCTTTTTGTTGTGACAGAATACATGAGAAAATCAAGTTTAGGAAAAAGGATTTATTTTTGCTCATTGTTTGAGGGGATACAGTCCATTGTGGCATGGAAATCATATCAGCAAGAGTGTGAGGCAACTTGTCACATTATATCTGCAGTCAGGAAGCAGAGGGAGATGAACGCCGGTGGTCAGCTTGCTTTCTCTTTTTTTCTTTTTATTCAGCCCATGAGATCATGCCACCCACATTCAGCGTGGGTCTTATCTCCTCAAATAAACTCAGAAAACACTCTTAACAAACATACTGTGCTGATGGATAGCTTCAGTTGTCTCATTGCGTCTCATTGACAAACCTGGGTGGAGGGAACCTCAATTGAGGCATTGTCTCTGTGGATTGGCCCGTGGCCAAGTCTCTGGGCCATTTTCTTGATTGTTGAGTGCTGTAGGAGGTCCCAGCTCTTTGTGGGCAGTGCCACTCCTAGGAAGGTAGTCCTGGGTTGTATAAGAAAGCAGCCTGAACATAGGCCAGAGGAGTAAGCCAATAAGCAGTGCTCCTCCATGGTCTGTGCTACAGCTCCTGCCTCCAGGTACCTGCACTGACTTCCCTCAATGATAAATTGTGACCTGGGAGATGTAAAAAAAAATAAGCCCTTTCTTCCCCAAGTTGGATTTGGTTAGTGTTTCATCACAGCAATAGAAAGCAAACTAGGCGGCTAGCTAGAAAGATGGCTCAGCAGTTAAGAGTACTAGCTGCTCTTGCAGAGGACCTAGGTTCAATTTCCAATACCCACATGGCAGCTAACCACCATTCATAACTCAAGTTCTACATGGGTGCACTTACATACATGTAGGTGATATGCTCATACACATAAAATTAATAAAAATAACTTTTACTTTTTTTTTTTAAAGCAAGCAAACTAGAACACATACACAGAGGTGGATCCTTTCTAAACCCAGTCAAGTTGACAATGTTAAACATCACAACTGTGTTCCAGTTCTTCAAATGTCAGTTAACTGACAAGCTCAGGATCCTTCCAAACTTGTTAAATTAATGTAGCATGGTATGTTTGTTTGATTGTGTAAGATCTGTAATTGAACGCTCATGGTACCTGATCTTAGTGGAAATGATTCCACTCACTATCACCCCGGTGACCCACTTGTAAAATGTTTGCTTCCTGTACCCTCAGCTTTGCACTCTGCTGGCTTGGATGTTTTGGTTCCAGAGGAGGGAGTGCTTCTGCCAGGAGAGACAACAAACATTCCATTGAACTGGAAGCTAAGACTTCCCCCTGGACACTTTGGGCTTCTGATGCCCTTAATCAGCAGGCTAAGAAAGGAATAACAGTATTAGGAGGAGTGATTGACCCAGACTACAAGGCGGAAATTGCTACCAGGGGGAAATTGGACTTGTTCTCCACAATGGATGTAATGAAGATTATATCTGGAAGGCAGGAGATTCCTTAGGACGACTTTTGGTGTTACCATGTCCTGTGATTAAGGTCAATGGGAAACTGCAACAACCCAATCCAGACAGGACAACAAATGGCCCAGACCCTTCAGGGATGAAAGTATGGGTACTCCTCCAGAGAAAGAGCCAAGACCTGCAGAGGTGCTTGCTGATGGTGGAGGAAATACAGAATGGGTCGTAGAGGAAGGTAGTTACAAATACCAACTTAGGCCACGTGACCAGTTGCAGAAATGTGGATTGTAACTGACATGAGTATTTTTGTCCTATTTGGTTAAGAATAGGCTTGTGCATGTATACACATATGCTAAGCAGATATTTGTGTTATTCTTTTTTGAATATATAATTAAGTGGTTAAGTGTTGTGAACCTATATGATTATATTGGGTTATGAGACACTAAAGGACTAAGCATTCCTCGAAGACCTTATCACCTACTCTAAGATATATAGTGCATTGGTCACTGTATTATGGGATAGTTGTATCATGTTAGGTGAAATTATGACCTCAACATTGTTTTCCCTTGAAAATTAAGCATGACATAGAGAGATGCTATTGGGTGTGAAGTTGACAAGGGGTAGACTTGTGATGGCTAATCCTGGGTGTCGATTTGATTGGATCTGGGATTAACTGAAATGAAAGAGATCTTCTTGATTAGATCATCTAAAGCTGGAAGACATACCCTAAATGTGGGTATTACCTTCTGATGGCAGCTGGTATAAAAGGCCAAGGCAGAGGAGAATGCCAGGCTTTTTGCTGCTTGCCTTCTCCCTCGCTGGTGAGTGCATCTTGCTGCTGTAGACTGAAGACTAGCTGATCTTTTGGAATTTGTCAGACCTTCAGCACCAGATTGGGACTACTGAGACATCCAGCCTTGTGGACTGAGCCACTACGGATTCTCAGCCTCTCCAGTGTGGTGCAGCCATTGTTGGACTACTCGAACTCTATCCTGTGAGCTAAGCTGATAAATCCCTATACATATATATTCATTCTACTAGTTCTGTTTCTTTGGAGAACCTGACTAATACAATAGTATTTCCTTAAAGAAAATAATCTATGAAATGATATTTTCAAATTTCAAGGAAAAGCTGTGAGCACCACAGGGACATGCTGTGAAAATGAAAAAAAGAAAAGGAAAATGCTGATGAATGCATTCTAATTTCTAGGATTGCCAGTACTGTGTATCCCTGTAATTAAAGATAGCATATATACTCTCCATCTGTTGTGAAAGAAGCTTCTTTGATGAGTGATGACTGGCACACTTGTCTGTGGGAAAGCATTCCTGATTAGCATATATTAAGAGATCATGTTTGTCTAGGGATGTGACAGAGCTAGGATTTTCTCTAAATTCAGTGCCCTCTCCAGCCATGTGTATCTGGTTGTGTTTACAGTGCCACACATGAGTTTCCTTCCATTGAGTGGCCTTTAAGTCCAATTAGGTAGCTATTGATTACACCCAAGATGAAAGTGCTACTATTGAATCAGTTTAGTTTGCTGTGCTTTTAAACTGGGGGTTGCATCATTGATCATTGATTGATTGATTGATTTTTCTCTCTTAACATCTTACATAATATCCTCTAAAACCACAAGAGCTAGACTTTACGGAGGAGGCTTCCACATCAGTTCCAGGTCCATTGGTCTAAATTCCATATTCAAAGTGTGTCGTGTCTTCAGCAATAAGGTCTAATCTTCAAGTTCTGGGAGGTAATCAAGGGCTGTGGCAATAGCCTGTGTAATTTTGGGAGTCTCTTGAACTACTCTATGACCAACTCATAGGGAAGTGCTGTCTGGTACTGTGTTTCTTGTTATATAGCCTTCAGTTGTACATAAACACTCAGGTACAGATAGTAAATGTATTTTTCAGTAGGCTTTTGAACTTAAATATTTCCCTCTGGTTTTTCACACCAGCTAAACATTATTTATCTCACTGTCTCCCTGTATAATCCTCCCAGAGAATAGGTGTCTGAGAGATGCTATCCCTAAGTGACACCTCTACAATGGAACTTCTACACTTAAGACTCACAGAACATAGTGGACAAGAGGCAGAGAGAATACTAACGTATCTCATCAGCAAAGCTTTCTCATACAACAGGGAACGATGAACACAATAGGCCAGTACTGGCCAAAGTGTAGAGAATAAGAGACTGCAGTGTGAATTACTGGACAGTACTCCCATTTTAAACTTTACCTACCCAGGGCTTAAGAGTCCATTGTGGGAAAGGGGGCAGAAGGATAGTAAGAGCCAGGGAGGAGGTTCATTACTGTCAGGAAACAGTCTTATAGGCTCCTAGGACCTAGTTCATATGAACTTACAGCAATAGTAACAGCATGCACAAGACCCATGCAAACTCAATCAGTCAAAACCAGCATAGAACTGGAGAAATGGACACAACTTTGGCTAGGAGCTATTGGTAGCTGATCACTGCTGGGTGAGGAAGCAGTTGATCTTCTTTGAGGGAATGAGGCTGGACAGGCTAAACAGGCTCCAGTGGATGAACTAATAGTGAAGGCCATCCGAATACACAAACTTGACTTGATAGGCCTTAACATATACAACAAAATGCATGAAGTCCTGTGGGCAGGATATAGGGGTGCATCTAGGGAAGAGGGGGCTAAATATGATTAAGATGGATTATGTGAAATTAACAAAATTTTAATACAATTTTAAATAGCACATATTTTATGTAAAATTGAAACTGTTATAGCTGGTTTTGAAAATCTATGAGGAGGAAGCATACAAATTCATGTTATGTTAATTAGTAGAGGTGATAAACATTACCATTGAAATCTACCCGATGACTTTATATCCATACACAGGTGCCAAGGATCTGAGTGCAATCGACTATGACTAGTAAAATCAGATATATACAGATGAAAGGTGCATGCACCAACATCTAAATGTTATTAGCAAAAACAGTCTTTCTCTAAGAAACAGTATATTTTAAAATGAAATGAAGATCTTTATTAAAGGTTAAAAACTCATTCAATTTTATGTCTTACAGGGTTTATACTGAGTTCAATATTATATAACTGTAATAATTCAGCTGTAAACCTAAAAATTTTATAGCCACTTTTGAAAGAGATGTATCTTTGCTCTGGAAATTATTATGTTAAAGCTGTAATGAAATGCTTCTTCTAAAAAATTTTAAAAATTAAAAAAAAGAAAATATATATAAGTCTTATAAAAGTGAGAGTCTAAGACCATTTTTAATTTGACTTTTAAAATCCAGTTTCAATTTGTAAGTGGTAAATATCACAAAGATAAGTGATTTTATTTTACATACAGAAACTGATTGCCTTTTACCTCTGTTTACATCTGTCCTTTTAGCATTCTGAAACATTGTGTTCAAATCCAGAAAAACAATAGATTTGGCTTGCACCTGTGTCTGAGGTTTCCTTGACAACTTCTGTAGATGCTGCTATCACAATGGGAATGGTTCTTCTCAATGAAGCAGCAACTTCCAAAGGAGATGTGGGGAAGAGACGCAGTAAGTTTGTGTTACTATTTTTATTACTTCGTTTTACTCTTAAGGCTCATAAATCAAAGGGGAAGTATAGAAAAGCCCTTTGTATACACAGACTTCTTAAGAAATAGTCTGTATTGAAGAAAGTTAAGATTTTGTTTTACTTTTTTCTCTTTCTTGGATGTGTATGGGAATGTACTTTAAAAAATATTTCTTCCAAAATGGTATTGGGTGATTTTCTTTGATTGCATGTATAGGAAAGGGAGGCAGTTACCGTTCTTCAAAGAGCTGCTCTGGTCCATCTCTGCTAAAGCTGTGCAACCTGCATTGGAACATCACACTACAGTGAAAAGTTTGTACACAGAGTCCTCTGAGAATTGACACATAACATACTTATTATGCTATGAGAACCAAGTATCTAACCAAAGCCAGAATCAGATTTAGAGGAAGGGTGTGTGTGTGTGTGTGTGTGTGTGTGTGTGTGTGTGTGTGTATGTGTGTGTGTGTATGTGTGTGTGCAGCTATGTTATTACTTTCCAATCCCCTCCAGATTTTTTTCACTTTTAAAATAGGAGTGTGGGGAATGTCTTACCCAGACTGCCTTTTCCAGGGACTTTGGGGAATGTCTTACCCGGACTGCCCTCTCCAGGGACTTTGGGGAATGTCTTACCTGGACTGCCCTCTCCAGGGACTTTGAGGAATGTCTTACCCGGACTGCCCTCTCCAGGGACTTTGGGGAATGTCTTACCTGGACTGCCCTCTCCAGGGACTTTGATCTTTTGTTGGTATACCAAGATTGACAGGTCTGTCATTCCAGCATTATAGATGCAAGCAAGTTACTTGTGTTCTAGCCTTTGAAAAGATTATTTTCTCTCAAAGTATGGTAGAAAAACTTTTAATTTCTAAAAGTAACAACAAAGAGACCACCATATTTGGGAAGTACCTTCTGCCCTGAGGAATCTAGAGCAGGGAAGGAAAAAGAGCCTTAGAGTGAAAGTGTCGTGCCACAGACCTTTTCATAATTAATACCAAGGCTTTCTAATACTGATAATTCATCCAATAGCTGCAATTTGAGGTATTTCATTTCATAATTTCTGAATTCTTTTTAAAGTGTAAATGTCTATATGAAGAGTGTTTGTATCTCAAAAGGACAATTCATTAAGATATTTAAAATTGAAATGTATTTTTTTCTGGGACTTCTTTTAACAAGTGTATATAAATGAGGCATGGTAACTTGTCAGTACTTGAAAGTTTGAAGTTTTGAAATGTTTGAAAGTGGTGTATGGTTAAGACTGGCCTCAGTGTTCCCATGGTGAAAAACTGAGCCATTGCCTCCAGCACATTAATGCCAGTACAGCTATAGATCTTTGAATAAATAACATTATTGGGATCTGTAAGGAATTCTTATGAGGCTATATTCTTGATGTGATAATGTATGTATCTTATTTTCTCACCTACTAAGATAAATTATAGTAATAACTATATAATAGAATCTTAAGTCTCACAGCATCTATGATTGCTCTTTATAAAAATAGTATTTTTGAGAGCTGGAGAGATGGCTCAGCAGTTAAGAGCACTGGCTGCTCTTGCAGAGGACCCAGGTTCGATTCTCAGCACCCACATGGCAGCTAATAATTGCCCCTAACTCCATTTCCACGGCATCTGACACCCTGTTCTGACCGCCATGGTCATTGCATGATGTGGGTGTACTTACATACGTGCAGGCAACATAGTCATACACATAAAATGAAAATAAAAAGTAAGAAAACATTATTTTGAGCATCCCTCTTAATAGATGCCCCCCCTCCCCTTCACAGTACTTATGTGTGTGGATGGGGATATGTGAGAAAACGGGAGTGTGCACACAAGTGGGATAGAAAATGCTAAGTTGTTCCTTTGGTATTTTGATCTGTTTTCTGGTTTTGACTTACACCAGTGCTGTGAATATCATTTTTACCCACACCACCATGTGAAGGCGCCATGAAGACATTTCCCTCTCCAGGTGTCCTATCTCATGGGTTCCCTGTACTCCTCCTCCTGTGTGCAGGTCTTATTTTGTTCCACTGCGTAGAGTCAGGTTAATCAATTGTTTTACTCAATCACAGATTTGGAGCCTCATTTCCTGTTGAGCCCAGCCTAGCAAGGCTACTAACCAGCATCAAGGGAGTAAAAAGAGTGTTTTACTTGTATCCTAAACAATATTAAAAGAAAACATAAAAGAAAAATGTATTTGATAAAATACTGTATTTTGAAAATGTAAAGTAAAACACTAACATATTCAAAATTTAGTAAGATCGTTTAGTACGACTTGTAATAAGTTACTTCATACTACAGGGGTTAACATATGTCCTACTTGGGTACAATTTTTTTAAAAGGCTTTTTGTATTTGTGATATTCACAAATCTATATTTTTACATTGTTTTCTGTATCAGTGTTGTCAGAATTAAAAATGTCACAGAAGTCACAATGGAATGCTAAAATCTGCATGAATACTGGCTTGCCAGTAGACCATGTTCTGAAGGCACCATCCTTACCCTCTCTATTCACTGATTTCCAGGATTTTAATTACTCTTATTTTCTCTAATATGTTAGAAAAACATTTATTTCACCATTGTGGAAACAATTAAATTTGTTTGCCTTTCACTTTCTTCTGCCCTAGTGTTTTTAAATTTCTTTTGCCTTCACATAAATCTTTGATAATTATTCAGGTATTTTTCAAACTCTTTTAATATTCCCTCAAACTAATGAAAGGATGTAAGTATCTTGGAGATGTTTTATTCATAAAAGATATTTCTGATTAAACAATAACACTGATGTGTAATTCTGTATGACAGATTTAGTACTGATTTTTTATTCTAAACATACACATTTAATTGACTTGCATATTTAAACATTTAAATTTTATGAACATGTTCATTTTACTACTAATAATGAATGTTATTTAAACATCTAAAATACGCAAAAACTTAATATACTTCATTACTCATCCATTCTTAATCCTAATAAAAAGAAAATTAAAAGTAAAAGTAACCTGTCTCTTCTCAGATCTCAATATTGCAGAATAGTGTTGCATGCTTGGAGCACAGCACACGGTACAGTAACATTGCCCTGTTCTGTTGTAGAAAGGACAGCTGCCAAGTCTCAAACGTGCCTGCTCTACTGAAATCGCTTTCCAAAGCCTCTGATTTTCTCTGAGAACATACTTTTTCCCATCAAGCTTTTGTCTACTAAGAAGTAGTATTTCTAAGTAACAGGCTTTACCCAGACAGAAATACAACCAATGACTTAAAATTTCATTTCTTTGTGAAGATTGCACTGTGTCGGAAAAGATCGGGATTATTTTGAGCATTCTGGTAATGCAGAGGCTCCCGCTGTTGTAGCCCATGCTTCATAGTTCAGTTAGGGGACTGATAATCTTGTTTGTGGCTTATCACATTTTGTTCTGTTTTGATCCCTCTGGGGCATTTTAGTACTTACAGGAACTTTATAAGAAGAAAATCACCAGAAGACTTAGATCAGTCAGTTTTGTTTTTATACCTCACATAGTACATTTTCATTGAGAAGAATGTGGAAAATAATGAATACATTGTATTGTGGACTGTCTGGTTTGTTGTACCTGTGTGTGCCTGAACTATTGCATGTAAGTGTTCTGTAATTGAATGGATTTTAAAAACACTAACATTTGCATTATCATTTGCACCTTTTTAGATCCTAATGGTATTTTATCTCTCTTTCTAGTCATTTGCCTGGTAGGATTAGGCCTGGTGGTCTTCTTCTTCAGTTTTCTACTCTCAATATTTCGTTCCAAGTACCACGGCTATCCGTATAGGTAATGCATTTAAACTAATACAGATGTTTCATTTTTAGTGTATAATTAAGGATTAATATAAAGTACCTAAATGATTTTTCCCATGATTTTAACTTGACTTAAGCAAGTTTTAAGTACCTACCAAATGTGCAGCTGTAAATGTAAAACACAGTTTATGTTCCCATGATTTATAAAATTTTCATTTTATAAATGTGTGTGTGTGTGTGTGTGTGTGTGTGTACATATAGCAAAGCAAGTTTTAAGTTTTATGGACTTCATCAAAATTACTACTTCTTTTGGTTTATATATTTGTCACAACTAAGACTTTATTTGCAATATTTTTTTCTCATATAATCTAGTCTGGTATCTGATAAACATTACACCAACTTTTGAATTCTACAAACTTATAACTTTTCCAAATAAGAACAATCAACCTGAAAGGGACAAGTTAAATGCTACACTAATCTCTGGTTGTTAGAAGTCATCATAGTGAAGTCTTGGATGGGAGTGGGTTGAAGCTGAGGACTCCTAAGGATCACTGTCACATACCACTGTCACTAAAGCCTCATTCAGCTGATGAGTCGGGTTATGGCCACTCAGCTTACCATTTAGTCATATGCTTGTTTCTTGACCATGTTCTTCCCCTAGCCTTCTTGCTAAGAAATAACTATGGAACCCTTCTTAAAGCCTGACCTTCCTTCTCTCTACTGAGGTAAAAGCCCTATATCTTTCCTCACATTTTGATAGGCATTTCTGTAGCAGTGGTTAGAATAGTGACAGTTTAATAGACGATAAAAGCTCATCACACCTTAGCATAACTTCACCACATGGAGAGTGAACATTTTAAGAGGATGGTTCTACCCTGTCAAAAATATTTAGCTTTATCAGAATGACAAAAGTCATCCCAATGAGAAGACTCTGTACGGAGTTGGAGTCAAGGGCGATGCATCAGCAGTCCTGCGCCCTTCTTACCTCTTCCTTCTTCATCCATTAAAAATAAATATGTTAGGAGAAGTGGGGGATGGAGGTATCATCTGATTTATAGGATTACCAGCAACATAAACAAATCCTTAGAATTATCAGTTCCGAGGGGAGAATCAGTAAGAAACACAACACAGTCTCCAGTTTCTTCATTGTATTGATACTGATGCCAATTTTGGTTTTCAGTATACAAATTGGCTAAACTAACTATCTTAATTTGATATATGGGTTCTACAGTGAAACCTGTATATGAATAAAAAGAGAAATACTCTACATTTTTAAATATTTTACCTAGAAAACTGAAAGTGTTTAAAAATCAGTGTATTCCAATCTATAACAGTCAAAGGAAAAGTATTGTTTTTTTAATACTTTATTACTTTTATGTGAATGAGTGTATTACCTGCATGTATGTAAGTTCACCACATGTGTGCAGTACCCCAAAGAGGCCAGAAGAGGGTGATAGATACCCTGGAACTGGAGTTATAGGCAGTTGTTAGCCAACATGGAATTGAACCCAGGTCCTCTGGAAGAACAGCCACTGAGCCATCTCTCCAGACCCTGGAAAAGTATTTCTTTTTATAAAAATTTGAAGTAGAGCAAAAGCTTTCATGAGATTCTTTTGTCTTTTTTATTTTATTTATATGAGTGTATTGTCTGCATGTGTGTCAGTGCACTCATGTTGTCCAGTGTCCATGCAGATAAGAGGACGTCAGATGCCCTGGAACTGGAGTTACAAATGATTTGTTATCACTGAGCCATCTTTCCAGCCCTTGTCATGAGATTCTTAACCCTATTTAGTTGACAGGATGTAAGGGAAGTCAAAGGGCACATTACAGCTTTCCTTGAATATCAGTCCCCTGCAGTCATATTCATCATTGTATCCTATATAGAGAGCAATGTGGTGCCTAAGAAAAGGAGAGAAAAACACAGTGCTGCTGGGTCTTACCTTTAGTCCCAGCACTTGGTAGGTAGAGGCTGGCGGATCTTTGTGACTTCAAGGCCAGCCTGGTCTACATAGTGAGTTCAGGTCAGCTGGACTACAGGGAGACCCTATCTCAAAAAGACAGGAAAAAAAAGAAACAGTGTTACATTTGACAGCATTATTATTACCATGATTTGAGTAGTTTTGTGCACTTTTTCTAAGAATTTTGTCATTTACTACAGTATGTGTGACTCCTCTGGGTTTGGATTTTATGATTTTTTTTTTAATCAAGTAATGTACATAAGTCACCTAGGAAGTTTCTCAATCTTTTACCATAGGCCTTTCTCTAGATGATACTAAATGTGTATAGTAGGAACATCTGCACAGAAGCCCTGATCCCTGCTCTTGTTCTGTGACTGTCGATTCAATGACGGTTAATTCAATGACTGTCGATTTGAGCTTTCTACTGTGAGAGACAGCTCAGGCCATGTGAAGGCACCACTATTCTAGAGTTGAACTCCTGTGTTCAATCTAGATAAAAATCTCTTCAAAAGAATTCAGAGGTAGGAATCATGCCTAAGAATTTGTTTGTGAATATGGAATTTGACATAGGTTGATGAAACATAAGAAGTTGTTGCCAGGCAACAGAATCCTTGGGAGGAAAACCTAGCCAAGACAGTCTGGGAAATTGGAGGTTCCCAGCAGTAGTAGTATCAGTAAGAGGAAGGCAGCTCTTTCCAAGTGCTCTGCCTGTGTGGTGCTGCTGTGAGGCTTCATTCCACTTGTTTAAGCATCACTGTAAAATTATTTTATTGGGTTTATGTCATTGGCAGTCTTCCTTAAGAATTTTTCTAAGGTTCGAATTCATACAAATCTTTCTACTGAACACTGTGTCCCTATGCATCCTTAAACTAGTTTTTTTTTAATTATTATTTTTATTTTATGTGTATGAGTGTATGTAACCGCACCCATGTCAGTCAGTGCCCATGGAAATCAGAGAAGAGCGTCGGATTCCCTGGAACTGGAATTAGGGATGGTTGTTAGCTACCATGTGGGTACTGGGAATCAAACCCTGGTCCTCATAAGTGCAGCCCAGTCCTCTTAACCACTGAGCTATCTCTCCAGCCCCAAACTACTCTTTTTCATTCTTTCTTTACAATTTTGATTTCCTTCCATTCACTATAACCTTTCATTTCTGTATGTTTTGATCCGTTCCTGATTATTATTCATTTTCATTTGTATTTTAATATTAAGTTTCATAACACTGTAAACTTTTATTCCCCCATATTTTCTCAGTTTTCACTTGCATTTCAAAATTACTATTTTCTTTTTCTTGATATATGTACCTGCTTAAAGAATAAAAGTCTACTTTAAATATTTATGTTGTTTTCTTAAAGCTTCCCCATTTTAGTATTAATGGTATTGTGCTAAACTATTTCATTTCATTACTAAATTCTCACAGATTACCTTTAAAGCCTCAATAAGCAAACTTTACATGAAATCCCAGTGTGTTTGTGTGACTATGGGTTCATTGCTTAACCTTTCTAACCTTAGGTATTCTTGTTTTTAAATGGAGGTGATTTTATATCCTTGTTTTCTGTTTACATGTGAATCACCAAGCATGTTACCCAGTATATAGCAGTAATTACTTAATAAATGTCCAATGCTGATTACTACCATTAATTCCAATACAAATATTTACACTCATATATATTTAATTTACTTTTCACTAAATGGGTTTTTTTCTTTGCACTGCACATTAATTAGCTTTGGTTGTGTGCATAATTCCATTGGATGAAGAACAGACTTCACTGAATCTTCTGATGAACTTAATTGGGCTGCAGAGTCCTTAAAACTGCTAATGAATTATCAGGATTCTTACAGATTTATCTAATTACTGTCTGAGACATAATTCAGAAAAAAATTTATTCTGCAGTGTGGATGCATGAGTCTCTTCGCTTAACAGTTTTTTCTTCTGTACTCGGACTCAGGTATTTTCTCTAGACTTCTCTAAAAACATCAATGGAACATCAAGTTCCTGTGGTATTCAGAGAGTGACAAGAAATGTTCTCTATTAATTCTGTCACTTTGTGTACATAGTCTTACTGTCTTCGAGTGATGGAATAATATAATGAGAAAATAACCATAATTAGCAACAGAGATCTGAATTCAAGTTTGGGGTTTACTGTTCAGTACATTAAATAAGAGCTCACTCTGTAGTTACAGAGACTTGGGTTTGAAATATCTCAGATCCTCTCTTTACTAACTTAGAGACTTAGAATTAACTAAACTTCCTCATACCATTTTCTATCTGCTTTGATGGAGTAGTTTTATGTGGTTGGAGACAGGCTCAGTAGTTAAAGGTGTCTTCATTATTTCTGTATCTTTTGCCAGTATAATTGGCTGTTTCTTTATCCTTAAACTTGATGCTATCATACCTACCTCAGAATTTTACGGAGATGAATGTGTAGTTCTTGATATCCGCTTGGCTCTCAGTGACAATGACGTCCCCTAACCATTTTCCATCGGTAGCAGCTACTTTAGCACATGTGCACTAGCACTGTGCTGTATAATCTTTTTCATTAAGTTTTCATAATCAGCTCCATCATGTGTTCATTTTCTTTCTGGAGCACTTTAAGATATTTGGAGAAGGGTCCTTGAGAGTTAAATTTTTGTGTTCATGGAGGGCTGTGCACATAGTAGCTGCTCAACTTACACTTGTTAATTGAATCTGTTCTTAAGAAAATGTTGTCTACCTAGACAGATGTCTATCTAGACAACATTTAATGGTTCCTGCAAAGGAACCATTAAAAGAGAGTAGGTTGGGGCTAAGGAGATGGTTCAGTGGTTAAGAGCCTGGCTGCTCTTAGAAGACCTGGGTTCTATTCCCAGCACTCATGTGGAAGCTAAGAACCATCTGTAACTCCTGTTCTTGGGGCACTGATGCCCTCCTCTGGCCTCTGTGGGCATTGTATGATATGGGTACCTTCACCTACATTAAGGCAAGCATTCATATACTTAAAATAAAAATAAATTTCTAAAAATTTTTCAAAAAATTTTTGAATGTGATAACATTTAGCTGTGGAAGGACAGAATAGCAGCTACAGATAAAAATTAC